CTTCTCAAAAAGCGTGCCTGGTATTTGATCAAAGTGGAGAAATGCCATGACGTGGAGTATCTCAATGGCTTCCTTCGCCTCATCTGTTGTGAGGCTTCGTATCTTGTTGTAGGAGACTTCGAATGTTGTGAAAACCGTATGTTCATATGAGCCTTGACCTTGCTGGGTCCCATTGAGGAAAAGCTTCCTCTTATAGGAATTGAAAACATTCAGGTAGTCCTCCAAGGAACATATATTCTGGCGAATGGAGGCACCCGCCTGTATCAAAGCGAGTGGTAGACAACCCAAGGCTTGCACAATGGGACGAGCGGTGGCTCTTGCGTTCAAATTATGAAGGTCGCTCACGATGGCGGACCTCAGAAGTAGAGTTATCGAATCTTCCTCCTCGAGGTTTGCAAACTCCTCAAACCCAATAGTTGCATGAACTTTGCAGTCAGGATTTCGGGAAGTTACTAAAATATGCCCCTTAGCACCCAAAGGAAAGTATCTGGCGTAGTCAAAGTCTGCGTCATCTGCATTGTCAATGACCAATAGCCAAGGCATGTCTTGCGTTGACAACCAGTAAAGGCCAGACTCCAACTTTTCCTCCACTTTGCCAATGCGGGCAAGACCCGAAAAGGCCTGCTCAGCAGCCTTTGGGGTACTTGCATCAACCCAAAAGACCCCCCAGAAACTAAGGATGAATATATTAGCATTTTCAACATAATTATTCCAAGCGATCTGTTGGGGTGAGGTAGTCGATCTTACTTGTCTCGATTATCTGAAGCGAATTTCAAGCAGAACTGAGTCTTTCCAGATCCCCCCAAACCGTACAACACAAAGCGCTTTTGGCGTATATTAGGCGCCAGTAGCTTTTCTTGGAGCCCTTGGGCAAGCCTCTCTCTTCCTGTGTAATTGTCGCTTACGGCGAGTGGAACGAGGAAATGTTGATTTTGAGAGACTGCGGTGGGCTTGAGTTTGAAACTGACAGGTTTGTTGTCGTGATGTATGTCGAATGCCAGAATCTCCGTGGCTTCATGTTCCCTTCGCGCAGCAAGAAAGGAATGTGATTCCCGGTGTCGCGAAGCTATTAATGGACCCGCTAGTTTAATAAACCTGTGGAGGATCCCACATGTTAACTTGTAGCCAGGCTGCTCACGGTCACCAAATTTGCACATCTGTGAATGGGTTGCAGGAAGTCCAGAGCGCCCGGTATCATCCCATGGCGGGGCCGCTGAAGAGCGACTGACAATGTGTCCTGAGCCAATGGACCGCGACGTATCAAGTGTTTCCCAGAAGTTGTGAACGTAGAAATTCTTCAGAAGAGGAGAGAATTGCTGGGAGATGGTCTGGAGAGTTTCCGATCTCTTCTCCATAGATGCGATGAGATGGCTTCGATCCTTGAGAACACCCTTCAACCCCTTTGCTAGAAGAGACCACCTGGCCTTCTCTATACCTTCATGAGGAGTGCCGAAGAATATCAAGCCGAAAGTAGAAGTAAAAACAGAATGCAGGTGCGTCATCTTCGCAGAAGTGCAAGTAGAGGCGTAAATAAGGGCTTTCTTGACAATCAAGCCACCAAGACCATGGCACAGGAAAATTATCGGTCGCTGTATGGAATCATCATGCTCTCTTTCGGCGTTGAGCTCTTCCACAAGAGTTTGAGCATGATGCGATATCCGATCGGCCGAACTGCTACTGAAGAACGAGGTAGCATCGGCTTTGTAATTTACAGTGAAGATACGAGCCTTGAACCCTTCGTTAGGGAGCAGGTCGCGCAACCAAAAACACTCATTGCTGGGATGAATCCAAGCCGTCATTCCATTTTCATCTAACCCATGGACGGCAACGATACTGCTCAATTAGCGAGGTCCATTCGCGATCCTTAGTCGGCGTTTGAAAGCTTACTCGACACATAGATCGTCCCACTTCCCGTCAGTGGATACCGGGAAAATTGTCTCTACGGTCATTGAGACCACCGTGTTTGGAAATTACTGGTAGGATCTCACAAACGCACTGAAAGTCAAAGATTATGACAAGTATCTAGGAAAAGGCACATATCTGATAAACATGTCGCCGATCGAGAAGAGGGGGTGTCTTGGCCAACAAAAACCCGCGTTAAACGGAGTCCCTAGTTTGATTCTCTGTTTCAAAATGGCTAATGCTAGTTGCTAGTGCACATAAGTACACAAACTACCTAGGTACAGGGCCAAACCAAGCCAAGGATGGTTAGCCTTGACGGACTGAAGCTGATTTATAGGCTCGACCGGACTAGCCAATCTGCATCCTGATACGCGGATGTGCTCGCATGCGGGTTAATGCGGGCCGCATCACACGGCGCCAATGCATCACGCTGAAAGCGCAGAATACCCTTGTCTAGCCCCAGAGGGGCCTAAAAAGGCTCTAAACCCCGTGCACTTGATTCAGCCCCTTAATTCAGCCATTCAGAATAGTTGCATATTTTATTACACGATCGCTCTCTTTGTATTTTGTTTTATAAAAGTTACATCCAACATTTCCGACGGGGGCGCATTGGAGATGTCACCACTTATTCTGTCAACACTCTTCGGGGGCATCATATCGTGGCTTGTGTATCAAAGCATTCAAGCTCATGCCTCGTACAAGGTTTGTTGGACTTTGCTTATGAAATTAAGTCGTGATAATACTGATAAAACTGACATTTCTTTCCTCATAGTCAGATCAGAATTTCGGTGCCCAGCATGGTTGTGGTCGGGCTCCGAGACTTCGAAATTGGTGGCCGCTGGGGATCGATCGTCTGATCCAAATTTGGACAGCCGATTATGAACAAAGGCTGATGGATTTGTTTAATTTCCATTTTACGGATGTTGGTACGACGTTAGAACAAAAGTTCTTGGGCACAATTGCGTATGGAACGACCGAGCCAAAGAATTTAGAGGCCATGATGAGTTCTAAACTTGATGGTAGGAAGCCACCACCTTCTTGAGCTCTCGATTCAATGTGCAAAAACCAAAGAACTGATTATTCAAAAAGATTTCAACTTTGGACTTCGTCGTCAAATTTTTTTCCCTCTGCTTGGAGACGGCATTTTCACTCAGGAAGGAGCTTCCTGGAAGCATTCTCGAGATCTCCTTCGTCCACAGTTCGCAAAGCAGCAATACCGAGATATGGACATTTTCCGACCCCACGTCGACAACCTGCTCGATCACATACGCGCTAATGAGGGCGAAATCGACCTTCAACCATTATTCTTTAATCTCACCCTGGACACGACCACGGAGCTTCTTTTTGGGAAGTCCGTTGATAGCCTTAAAGAGGCTGATAACTCACGAGGGGCAAAATTCGCGAATGAATTTGACGTTGCACAAAACTACGTTATTCAGCGGTTTCGTCTGTTGGACCTGTACTGGTTGATCGGTGGTCGGAAATTCCAACGCTCGTGTGCTGCTGTCCATGAGTTTGTGGATGGAATTATCGAGGAGCGAAATCAAAAGCCAGAGGAAGACACAGCAAAGAATGACCGTTACTTGTTTTTCGATGCTATTGCAAAGGACCCAAAGCATTCAAGCGACAGGAAAGCTCTGAGAGCCCAACTGGTCAATATGTTGCTCGCTGGCAGAGACACAACCGCGTGCCTTCTAAGTTGGACATTGTGAGTGAAGATCCTCTTTTTCTATGGGTCATGTTAAATTATTCTCTAACTGCCTTCATTTAATTCTAGCTTTCTTCTAGCCCAGCATCCCCATGTTCTAGCTAAGCTGAAAGCAGAAATTACCTCAGTGGTGGGATCTAGGACAGAGATCGATCGACCAGACATTAACAAAATGACTTACCTTGCAAAGGTTTTGAAAGAAAGTAAGTCCCGCCTTCCGGCTTTCATGAAGTTTTGATTGTATCGTGGCTGATGATTACGTTGCTAATAGCCCTTCGACTTTATCCCTCCGTGCCCGTCAACACGCGGACTGCTCGAAGAACAACCTTCCTCCCCACGGGTGGTGGTCCTGACGGGACCTCACCCGTACTCATACGTAAAGGCGAGAATGTAGCATTCTGTGTGTACTCAATGCATCGCCGAAAGGACTTATATGGAGAGGATGCGGAAGAGTTTCGCCCAGAACGCTGGGACGAAGATTTGCCCGAATATACTAAAACATGGGGCTATTTACCCTTTAGTGGGGGTCCTCGAATCTGCCTAGGGCGTAAGTGAACTTCTATTTTTTTATCTGTCGATAAACTGCTAATTTTCTTGGCACCGTAGAGGAATTCGCTCTTATTGAAGCATCTTACACCACAGCTCGAATTCTGCAAGAGTATTCCGGTATTCACCTAATATCCCAAAAGGTCCAACAACGTACGTGGACTGGTTGGTCCACCCATCAGACGGAAGGAATTGAAAAGATCTCCCATCAGAGGCAGAAGGTGACATTAGTGCTATCATTAGGTGAGGGTTGCAAGGTGTCATTGACACGCTAGATTCCAGAGTTTCATCATGCTATCAAGCGAGCCGAGGATTAAGAGTCGTTGAAACAAACTCGGTTCGAAAACTCAAGCCAGACAGATCCTAAACTATGATTGAGGATCGAAGCTAGACAGACGGCTCGTCAATTTAAGTACATTTACATTAAAAAATGGATCAACCCTTTGCCCTCATCACGGAACTTACTTGCAGACCCCTATCCGTATGCACCTCGGGTGCCTAAAATCTGACACGGCTGAGCTTCCCTGATTTCTCAAGCACGCCATGCAGCTAAGTGAGATTACGTATGTTTCAATAAATGTATACCGAATTATGCGCCGTTTTTTGATTAGCTGCATGACGGAACTATTTATAGATAGATCGCAAATAAACGAAAAGAATCGCATTGACTGGTCTGGCTTTTGTGACGATCGTTACTTGTTCTAAAGACCCCTCGATCGACAAAAGTACAGCAGAGATTGCCTCGAGGGAAGATCTTATAACCAAGCCCCAACCGTCCTTTCTGCCAAGTCTTATTGTAATATCTTATCATCCAATGGAACTTTGACTTTCTATACCTTTGGACATGCCTCGAACGGGTTCCCTCCATAATGGCATTATTGAACTATTCAGACCTAGCGAACAGCCTATAGATATTGAGTATGTGCTGGCCTGTAGCAAATTGTAATACTAGCTGACCATTTCGTTCGAATAGTATCGTCGCTGTTCATGGTCTGCAAGGTGACGCTCGGCGAACATGGACTCATGAAGCTTCAAAAGTGTGCTGGCTTAGCGACCTTCTTCCCAACTACATCAAGAATGCCCGGGTCCTGTCGTGGGGGTATAACGCCAACACAAATTCTTTGGGCGGTAAGGCAACAAGCTCGGACCGGATCCTACAGCATGCTGGGACGCTTATCGAGGAGCTTCAGAATGACAGAGAGGTAAGTAGTGATGTACACTGTAAGGAACATTCGTTGCTGGATTTTATGTTTCAAACCGTGCTGCCATGGCTGCCTTGGACTAGGATGGAGTGTGCCTCCAAGTTACAAGTAACAAATAATGGGACATCTCCATTGCAATGCTTTCTTGTCAATATTTCAGCTTGGTTTTGGCTTCATGTGCTTTGGATCCGAGAGACAACGAATTTTCTAGCTAACCGTGACTAGTTCGAGGATGCCACCGAGAGACCCATCATTTTCGTATGTCATTCTCTAGGAGGTATCATAGTCAAAAGAGCCCTCACTTTATCCCAAGGTCGCACGTCAGCGAAGAGCGCTCGACTTCACATGATTTATACTTGCACTTACGGCATTTTGTTTTTTGGCACTCCCCACAATGGCTCCAGCAAAGCACGCCAGCTCGACACCATCCACAAGCTAGCGTCCTTCATTGTTCCCAAAAGGGTCGCTCGCTTCGAAACAAGTCTAGTTACTGGAATCGAGGATGACTCCGAAACAATTCAAAACATCGCCGAGGACTTTTCCCCATTGATGTCACGGTATCACATACTGTTTCTGTGGGAGCAGTTGCGCACCGATATGAAATATACGATGGACTATATCGTGGATCGCGAGAGTGCCGCACCAATATTGGATGGAACGGATAGATGTGGTATCGCCGCAGATCACCGGGGCATTTGCAAATTTGAGAGTGTCGACTCTCCGGGCTTCAAGGTTGTTATTGTCGCTCTCAAGCGCTACTGCATAGCTGCACCAGCATGGATCAAGGAAAGGCTCATGGAGAGTGCGAACTCTCTGAGCGAGAAAAGAAGATACGAAGCCATGGAGCTTGTTGGGGAGTCACCAGTATCTCCCGTATCTCCCGTCTCGAACGTTTCTTCTTTTTCGGACGTATCTTCGTTGTCGGATACAATAAATCGGCTGAGAATGAAAAGAGACGCCAGGGGGTCGTCTTAGCCTCTCTATGTACATGGTTTTAATTTAGCTGCACCTTGAAGGTTCTCAATTGAATAAGCTTTGTAACAATAGACTCCAATGTCGCTTTCTGAATTGATAAATTGAGTCCTCCTACCATTGGCGAATGGGTCAACTCAACATACTAGTTCAACCGCCCACGAAGTCTGCCGACAGGAAACTCGCTTGACGTCTTTCTAAGTTGATTTCCTATCGTTAGAAATAACTATGTAAATCGTACCCAGTTGCCCAGGTGACAATCTATTGTAGAGAATTGTGTCAGCCGTAAATACACTTCCCCGTCCCGTCATTTCCTGTATTTACTTTCTAGCTACAGGGCCCACCTTAGCTCTACTTAGTCAGCAAGTAGCAAGCTACCAAGCTGAGCAACTTGCTCCTTAGAAATTACACTCATTTTACCACTTGCTCTGTATAGTAAGCTTTTGGTATTAGTTCACATCAGTCCCACTCGTTCGACATATTATCTAATAGAAATTAGGTGTATAACGTATTTCACTACCGAGTGACGCACATTACCGAGTGACGCAGTCAGAAACACATAGTAAATGCGATAAACTACAACCTTGTATGTCAACAACAACGTCCTTGTTTGATTTCATATTTACTCC